TACTTCCAGCGTAAGGAGGAAGTGAAGGAAGCCGTTCAACAATTACTTGCCCTTAGCGCGAAGAGTTCCACTCTTGTGGATCTTGCATCCGGCGAAGTCCGAGCAGCAGTGGAAGAACGCGATCGCCGTCTGAACGAGACCATGTCACTGGAGGCAAGATTGTCAGCAGAGTTGGAGCAGGCCAAGGCTGAGGATGAACAAACGGTCCTCGAGCAACAGAAGGCCGATAACCGCGTTTCTCGCTTGTCTTTGGAGGTAGAGAATCTGAAGCAAGTTATAGCTAAAGCGCAAGCCTCATTGGCCATTCAAGAGAAGGCTCGTGAACAGGCGGCCAAGGAATTGGAAAGCATTGGATCCCGCCGGATACTGACGGCTAATTCCGTTGAGGAAAAGGATCGAGCCCATAGGGAGGTCAAAGAGACCGTCCAAGACTTGGCCTCACGCACTGAGGAAGATCTTCGCCAGGAGATCTTGAGGAGGCTAGAGCTTCGTCATGCTAGGGAGATTCGCGGTTGAAAGCTTTGTAATTTGCCCCTTTTTGTCTTTGATTGCCAGTTGTACTAGGATTTCTTTCTATGAATGAAATTATCCCTTTGTTTTTTGGCTATTATTACTTCTGTGCATGCTCCATTTCTTCTTTATCATGCGTTAGCTAGAGCGTTAGTTGCGAGGGGCGGTCTTCAGCTATCGGCGAATTTCGGCCGTAAGCTTGTCTCCTCTGCGAGCGGATTTCGTCCGCAGGCGGATTTGGAATTGACTCAAATTCCAGAAGGGTAATCAGTTTCGACCTGCGGGAACCTCAACGGTGAATTCGCCATCGAATAGGCTCCACTTTCGGTGGGCCACGTATTGGCTTGTGATTACGTTAGCCGAGAGAACGTGGGCACGTCGCTCCGTATTGAATGCGGCGTAGTGGGGCTCTTGGTCCCTCGCGCCAGATTCGGGCCGTTGTTGAAGATCGTGCTTAAGAAAAACCGTTGGATCCTGGCCGTCCAGGTAAGATCCGATTCGTTCGGCCTTACCCTTCAACTGTGTTAGCCTTGAACAGTCTAATCAAGTATTAAGTAACCGCCTAGAGTTCTTAGGGTATTTAACACCCTTACTCTCTATCAAGAGGACCTACAGCCTTCTCATCATCTTCCTCAGAGTAAACCCAGATCTTCCCTTCCTCATACCCCCGATGGCGCCGAAGGTGAAGAGGGTCGCCTCTAAGAAAAGGAAAGAACCTTCTTCCTCGGGCGCTGCTGAGGCTTCTGCGGCCGAAGGTACTCTTTCGTACTGGCTCTCGCGCGGGTTGAACAAGTATTCTTCCCTTGACTCCTCTCTATGTTGTTGTGTTTTACAGATCGAGGGGAGGTGCCGACTGCCGAGGAGCCTGCGGCCGAGCCTATCTTGATTTCAGATGACGATTCTGAAGGTCGTGCGACCCCCGTCGCTTCAGACCCTGCTCCCGAGCCGGGAGATGAACCCTGCCTTGAGATCCCGCCCATTACGGCGCTCGCTCCGGGCCAAGAACCTGCTCCCTCCGAGTCCTTGTCCTGGCAGGCTCGCATCGAAGAGTTCGAGAGCGCTGTGAGACAGGTGATTTCCCTTGTCGGACTCGGCATGGGCAGTTTTGACAGCTTCAGGCAGTCTCTCTTTGATCGCGTGGCTGATTTGCGGCGATCGGGTGAAAATCGGCTCGCTACCCGTTGCATGCGTGAACTTCGTCTCTTGGAGCCACGCATGATAGGGTTAGAGGCCTTGCTACGGCAAGGTCCGGAAGCCAACATGGAGTCTTGCCTGGCTCATGTTTGATCGCGTGGCTGATTTGCGGCGATCAGGTGAAAATCGGCTCGCTACCCGTTGCATGCGTGAACTTCGTCTCTTGGAGCCACGCATGATAGGGTTAGAGACCTTGCTACGGGAAGGTCCGGAAGCC